TAGAAATAATATTTTAATAATTTTTTCGACTTAGTTATTAACTCTCTAAGTAATAGTCATTAACTAATATTTATTGTTCATTTTTGTTCTGGAAAATCATTAATTACTATATCTAAGTAATAATTTTAATTATAGTTTTCCTAATAAATATAAATATACAAAAATAAAAATATTGGTTTATGACATGGTGATATTTTATTAGATGGTTAACGTGCTGGTGTGTACACTCTAGATAGAAAAGAGAACTCTCTTCCTATTGCACTTGCGACAACTAATGTAATACCAAGCCCAGTCCGTATCTATGGCATAGAGCGTACACAGAAGCCTAACCTTTCCAATCTAGGAAAAAATATGGATAACATTAGCATACATGTTAATGTAGAGTTCGTAAGAAAAATATACCTCTGTAGAATTCTTCAGCTGAGAGATTGTTTTCCTTGGAAACTCAAGATAATCCTCATCCTTAACAGTTATCATCTCCCGTCTTGGTTGTCTCTCACGAAAACTGAGTCTTAGACCATCATCTGGCAATCTATAAATGCAAAGATTGATGTAGTTAGTATTAAATCAGAATTAAGTTTACAAAATTAAAAGAATACAAATAGAGTAGTTAACCATACCTTTGGGTGAAAACAGCAACTTCATTCCATGGTGGGTTCACGTGTACTTGAGTCACATCAAAAGAGTTAGATAAACCCATAACACCTGTATGGCACAAAATTATACAAAAGTTCAATAAGTATTTTCCTTTTAATTAAGTATAAGAAAATTATACTAAAGTATGTACCTTGAAGGGTTTGATTTTCACAAATCTTAGGATGCAGACCACAATCCTTCCATCAGAATTTTGACAGGCATTAAAAACCTGTTCAGCAAATTTGCCCCAGAGGGTACATGCTATCCTTTCATCACTAAGAGAAAATAAGAGTATATGTATCAGTCAAAATAGTGTAGTTCAACTTATTGGTTCAATACGATCATATGAAAATATTTAAAACACTTACGTTTCATCGCGAATCTCAAACTCAATTTTGGTAGTTGGTTTGTTTTTTGCTTCGAGATTTTCCAACTCTCCAATAGTAACAATCTGTCCTATGGCATCTGCAAATTCAAGATTCAGTTATTAAACATAATTAAGGATTCAACGAAACAATACTTCATTGCTAGTTCACGATTTAAAAAAACACAAGAGTTGTTACTTACCGACCAACGTATATGGATTGAGCTCACTACTTTGTATCTTACTAAACTTTGCGAGTGTCGGAAAGTTAGAATCTGACTTTGGTTCACATGGAATGATGTTCGTCCCTGTTTGGAATGTCATCTTGTAGAGGTGTTGAGTAGGTCTGTATTGTCCAGTTGCATAGTTGAGGCCAAAAGTCTCAATGAAGACCCACTCACCAACTTGAAGCTCATTAACATACTTGCTCACCAAGTCCTTCCTAACAGAACAATGAATTTTTTTTCCCTATATTGAATAGGAATGAAGTTTTGTTTTAGTATATGTACGTAGAAGGATAAAAGTAATTATTTGAAAATACGTAGTTGTAATATGTTTACCAGTTCGTCAGAGAATACAATCTCTAATGTTTCACCGGTGGATTCTAGGTATTGACGCCAAGTGTGCAAAACCTTGACTTGAACCCTCCATGATGCCTTGTATGGGCGGACGTCTTTGAGGAAACCGAAGGTAGTAGCCATTGGAAGAGAAGAAAGGTATGCTAATTATTTGTAACTGATTGTTTGCTATTGTGTTTGGTGATGGAGAATAATGTTTAGATGTAAAGTATATATAGGGAAGTAAATTAGGTTTAGTTTGTACCTAGGCTAGTCTCGAAATTTTGAAACACACGCAAGATTTGTGGGATACAATCTTTGATATTATTGAGTTTATGGAATATGCTAGGATCAATCTTTTATTTGGTAATTAATATTCCCCTTATATTTCGTTAATTTGACAGATATTTTACGGCAAAATTACTTGAAGATTAAGGTGGACTGTTTTAAGAGAAGGAGATATCTTGGGAATATTGGTAATCTCGGAAAGCAATTTCGAAACACACAAATAATTTTGGTGAAGAATATTTTGGTAGTTAAGTTTGAGATATTTTAGGAAGATTACAACTAATATGTCGTTAATGTATAGTAACTAATTTTCTATTTTAATATTTCGTTGGGTTAAGTTTAGATTTGATAGGAATAATTAAGATTATGATGAAGATTATTTTGGTAGTAAAGTTTGGTGTAGAATATTTTGGTAGTTAAGTTTGAGATATTTTAGGAAGATTACAACCAATAAGATTATGTAATTAATATGGTTTTGCGAAATAAATTTTTGAAAAAACGTGGGTGTGATGGGCCAAATGTTGGGCCTCGTCGTTGTGGCAAAAACAAATATTGTTGGACAGAGATTTGAGCCAAATTATTGGGCCAAATTTGTACTATCCGAAATTGAAACCGGGTCACTCGTTTTTTTAAAAAAAACCCACCCAACCAATGGCATTTTTTGTAAATACATTCCAACTCTAGGATTTATTTGCTAAAAGTCATCCAAAAATGTATATATAGACTAGATTTGAACCCGCGGTACACCGCGGGGCTATAATTTTTTTTTTAAAATCTAAATATATTTAGTTTTGTTTATTAATAGAGAGTATAATAAAATATTTCGACCTATTTTATAAATGTACCATCCATATATCTATATTAATAATTTTGAGTATATTAATTGTGTTTTAGGTTTAAATGGTATATCTATATATACACTTAAACGACATTTGGCTTTCTTCTTCTTCTTGCCTTAGTTTAGGAGAAAGATTTTTCTTGCGGTACACCGCGGAGCTATTATTTTTTTTTAAAAAAATTTCTCCTTAAACTTCCAAATCTAGATTTTACCCCGCGGTACACCGCGGGTCAATTTTTTTATAACTAACAAATTATTTTGCAAAATTTTAAGTTGTATTTGTTTTGTTAATATTGTTTATTTTGTTTAGTGTTTCTGATTTTGTTTCTGATTTTATAATTAAATTTTGATTTTTAATTCTAGGATTTCATCCATAGTATATTGTTTAATATTAATATTGATCTAAACCCGTTGCACCATATAACCCCGTCCCGTAAAATTAAACATCATTTGTTATTTTTTTTGAATAATATTTTTATCCACTACGGGTTGCAGGTTCATGCGGATAAGCCCGTAGAGAGTTGCGGGTTTACGGATCGACCCGCCAAAAGAGAAGCTATCTTTTGAAACCCTTTGTTTTGTTTAGAGGTTTTAAGAAAATATCTAGGCCTGGGCATTCGGGTACCCATTCGGGTTTGGTTCTTTTTTTTCGGGTATCGGGTCTATTCGGGTAGGGGTCAAGACCCATTCGGGTATTCTAAAAATTCGGTTCGGGTTCGGGTCGGTTCGGGTATTTTAATAAAAAAGCAAAATACCCGAAAATAACCAAAAATACCCGGAATATTTTCGGGTTCGGGTCGGGTTTGGGGTTTTAACTCATATATACCCAAATCTAACCGAAAAACCCGATTTCTCGAAAATACATTGGTTACTCTTTACCCAAATATAACCAAAAATATCTAAAATACCTAATATATTTGGTTTTATGATTGTAATTTTAGGTATTTCGGGTATTATAAAAATAAAAATAACTAATATTTTTAGGTGTATATTTGTATTCGGGTACATTCGGGTACATTCGGGTATTGGATTCGGTTCGGGTTCGGTTCGGGTTTTTTTCGGGTAGGAGGTTAGGACCCATTCGGGTATTTTTAAAAATCGGGTTCGGGTTCGGTTCGGGTATTGTTCGGGTTTTTCGGTTCGGGTATTCGGTTCCGGGTATTTTGCCCAGGCCTAAAAATATCCCTAAAAAATAATTTTCATTATATGAAAAAAAGAAGTAGAAGAAATTGTAGTATCAACATTCCCAATTTTTACATCACTCTTTTTTTTTTTTTGTCATCTGGATTTATTATTTATTGCAAATTCTGAGAACTGTTACAATTAATTTTTTTTTTGCAGATAAAAATCAGAAGTTAACTAAGTCGAGATTTTTAAAAAGATTTTGTAGAGATTTTTGGTAAATTGTTGAGAACATATTTGATTTCAGAATCTTTACTTAAATAGATAAGGAAAGATTTTGTAGAGACTTTTGCTAAATATATGATAAATGAATTTCAATTAAAAATCTTTACTTAAATAAAACAAATCTAAATAATTAATGCTAGTGGCATGTCATTATAAATACTTCTCAACTTCAGGATTTATTTGCTAATTGTGATCCAAAAATGTATATATAAATTTAGCGCATAGTTATTCATTAAATATATATAGATTTTAATAAAAGTGCGGCATATATGAATAACCATGCGCTAAACATACCGATTTGGTTCGTGAACGTCTAACCGCATTACCAATTTTGACCATGATATATATTAAAAAAAAAAATTGGAACATTTACTTACATGTGAATTTCATTTTTGATTTTTGTAAGCTTCTGCAATTTAACGTTTGAGCCACGTGGGAATAATAGGGCCAGAGCAAGTAGAAGAAAGTCGGAGACATTGCAGAGAAACAAAAAAAAAATCCCAAAACCAAAAAAAAAAAGTTTCCATTTCCATCAAAATCTCTCATTTTTTCTCCATAAATATTTGCTTCTGATTAGAAATTTAGAAACCCTTTTCTCCAAATTCTGGTTTCGGAGTTTTAATTGGCTAAAGATTCTTCCTTTTTGACTCCTCCGTTGATCTCACTCTCTCCGTCTCTCTTCTCCGATTTCTTCATCACTGATTTTGGATAAAGATTACATCTTTCTCTCACGTTATTTGTGAAGCAGTGATCAATCTCCATGTAAGTGAAGAAAGATTCTATCTTTGAGGAATTTTCTTTTTGGGTCTTCTCAATTCGAAATAGAAACTGTGAGATTGAGTCAAAGGGTTTTGGGGGATTGTGTGTGTGCTTGAGGGTTTTTGAAGAAATTAGGTATGCCAGAAAATAATATGGTGCCAAAGGGAAATGAGACAGACGACGGTGAAGTGGGACTTGATACGACGTCGTTTGAACAAGTTCAGCAACAACAGAAGAAACTGGTTATTGGGTATGCTTTAACTTCTAAAAAGAAGATGAGTTTCTTGCAACCCAAGCTTGAAGTTCTTGCTAGGTATGTTATTTCTTATTTCTTGTTTTCATCTTTCAAGGAAGTGTGTTACAATCATTGAAGAAATTGTGGGGACAATCGTTTGGTACTGTGGAGGACACTGTTTTTTTTTATTTGGTTTTATCCATAAATCTACTTCTTGCACTAGTTTATGCTTGTGGCATCAGGAATCTCTTGTTGCCCTTGGAATATTCCTTTTTATACAATTCTTTGGGACTAGTTTCCACTAGGAGGTCAAAAAGTCTACAGAACTTAACTTATGATTTAAAAACTAAAAACTTTGGTTCTTCTTTTTCTCTTACTTGGAAATCTTCCAAGCTACTTGTGGATACTAGTTCCCTAGATGTTGACATTAGCTCTTGTTTGTGTTTATAGGAAAAAAGGCATTTCCTTTGTTTCAATTGACCAGGACAAGCCACTCTCCGAACAAGGCCCATTCGATGTAGTTTTGCATAAGGTTTGTGGGCATGAAAAAAATGCTTTTGCGGGAATTGTGCTTCATACTTGGAGCATCTATCCTTTAGTTGTTGGAATGTTAAGTTTTGATTGAAATCTAATGGATTATATGCTTGTTCGCTTGCAGTTGCTGGGAAATGAGTGGCATGATGTTATTGAGGTTTGACAAACTGTCTGCCTTTACTGTAATATTTTCTCGCTCTTGGAACTGTAGTTTATTTTCTGTTGTAACTACTGATGCTAGTTTTAACCCATTCATGTGATTCTTGCAACTATCCTAGCAGTCAATTTATCAAATAGGAAACGCTCTCCTTTAATTTGGATATTCAGAGCAACTTGGTTCTCACCTTGTTCATTTATTGAACTAAACTAGGATTAGTATCTGAGAGATCTCTGTCCGATATGAACGATTTTCTCATTATGTTTGAAGAGTACCATCCTGTCCATAACTTACAGAGCAGCTTATGTTTATGTCTCTCCTATCTGTATTTGTAGGATTACCAGCAAAAACATCCAGAAGTGACTGTGCTTGATCCTCCATGTGCAATCCAGCGTATATATAATCGACAATCAATGCTCCAGGGCATTGCTGATATAAATCTTGCAGATTGCGATGGTAATTTCCATATGAAATTTCCAATCCTCTTTTATTTTATTGAGTAAGAAACTCCACAGTTTTTCATGAAGTGATGTTATGTTTTCTTTATAGGCATGATATGTGTTCCAAAACAAATGGTGGTATTAAAAGATACAACATCTAGCGCTAATGAAGTAGCAGAAGCCGGTCTAAAATTTCCATTAGGTATAAGTACTACTCGCATCTTAAGTTTTCACTCTTAATTTTCTTGTAAACAGCTACTGTAAAATGTCTACAGTCGATTAAAGCATATTCTTGTTTACCTGTCCAGTTGCAAAGCCACTTTTGGTTGATGGAACTGCAAAGTCACATCAATTGTTTTTAGCCTATGACCACCTCTCGCTTGCAGAGCTTGAACCCCCTTTGGTTCTTCAAGAATTTGTGAATCATGGTATCGGGTTTTCGTTACACTTCAATATCTGTTGTGATATATTGCTTGAGTCTGTGATACGATGTTCACACACTTTTATGCCTGAAGGTGGAGTTCTCTTCAAGGTTTTTGTTGTTGGTGATGTGATAAAAGTGGTCCGTCGGTTTTCTCTACCCAATGTAAGCAATTGTGAGAAAGACAAAGTTGCTGGTGTATTTCAATTCCCGAGGGTATCATCTTCTGCAGCTTCAGTAGACAAAACAGACTTGGACCCTCGTGTTGCTGGTTAGGATCTTATTCCGCTTGTAAAAAGGAGATTCACTGCATTGGATTTGTAGCTATGTTTATGTGTAAATTGTTGCTGCAGAGCTACCTCCAAAGCCTTTGCTCGAGGGGCTTGTGAGAGAATTACGAAACCGATTGGTATGTGAATCATATAAGTCTAATAGAATCTAAGCTGTTTTCCCATTGTAAGTAAGAGTCTGGTTTCTGGTGTGTAGGGACTCAGGCTGTTCAACATAGATATGATCAGAGAACATGGGAGCAGAGATGTGTTTTATGTCATTGACATTAACTATTTTCCTGGCATGTTTTTCTGTTGGTCAATCAAAATACGGATTGATAAGTAAATGTTATTGATGGTTTGCGACTGAATTGCAGGGTATGGAAAGATGCCGGATTATGAGCAGGTGTTCATCGATTTCTTCATGAGTCTAGCACAAGCGAAGCATAATAAGATACAGTGTGTGAGCTGAAATAGTGTTGAGATGATATAGTTATGTACAAAAAATAGCTCCATGTTGCTAGCCATTAGCAAAAAGAACAAGTTTTGATTAGTGATCACCACTGTTTCTTTCAGCAAAATTGTGTGTTTTTCATCACAGCATGTTTCTCTCTAAAGATAAATCAAATATTTTCTTTTTCCTATCTGAAAAATATATTTGAAAATCTTTGAGACAGACTAACTATAGAAAGTTAAACAAAGTATAAACAAGCCAAATGGACAGAGACTTTAAACATCAGAGAGTTACAAATCCAAGGCATTATTGAATTACGAATACTCGATGGCGTAAGCAAATGTTCCAATGAGCAAAAGAGCTATATGAACCTTGAAGAGCCGTGCCATGAAACCCACTACAAAAATGGTGAGCCAACAAGACAGTTACATTCAAGGGTGATTTAGGTGAATAACCAAATCTAATAAAAGAATTAAGAATATAGCACATTAAATTTGAATACGAAGAGAGTAACCATAGGATATGGTAAAATGACAAAAAGATCCACAAGTGAAACGCACGCAAGTCACAAGGTACTGAAATAAGAAGTTGATGTTTTTATTATTATTTTTCTTTTGGAATAAACTTTTGTTTACCTCTCACATTTGTTTTGTTACATGGTTCTTAAAATTAAGTTAATTTAGCTTTACCATTCTATTTAAAAAAATTAGATTTTTTTTTCTGAATATATCATGAGTTGAATAATTTAAACGGACATTAAAATTTTAAATGGTGAATAGTATTATTGGTAACTAAAGATATGCTATACTATATAGAATCATACATAATTTGTACTATTTTCTATAAATATTTCTATAAATTATATTTAAATAAATTTTTAATTCTAAAATACTAAACCCTAAATCCAAAGTCTAAACCCAAATCCAAAACATATGTTTAACGACAGTTAAATAATTCAAAAATTTTAAAACAATGAATTTATTTTATAGAAAATAGAATAAAATGTTTGTGTTCTAAGTTCTATATAGTATGGTGGTGATGATGGTGGATATAATGGTGGTAGTGGTAGTGATGTGGTGGTGATGATGGTGAATGAATTAATAGAGAATGAGAGTGGTGGTTAAAAAAATGGACGAAGAGAGACAGAAAAACTAAGAAAAAATGACAAATAATTAAAAATAAATGCATCACAAGAGTAGTTCCCTGAGAACCATGCTCAAAGCTAACACAAGCGCAAATTGAAGACAACAACACATATCATGGATTTAAGAAATAAGAGCTCTGTATCATGACATTGAAAAATTGTTTATTGGAAATGTTACGTGAAAAATAAGCTGCTTATTATCCCACTTTTTTCCTTTTCAGATGATGACATAACCATAGACGGCGATGTAGGCTGGACAGTGGTGGCATCTGTGTAATAGGGATAAAATAACAATTTTTGTAGAAAATATACACTGTATTATGGTCTTTATGTTAGAATGGTTAGTTTGTGAATTATATTTTTTTTTGGGTTATACAATGCAATTTCTCTAGATTCAACAAAAAAAACAAGAAAAAAAAAACATGTCAAGAACTTACCAAGTTGTGACTGAGCCACATCCTAAAATGCATTGGAAAAAAAAAAGAAATTGCATAAGGTTAAGGCATTAAAATTGTATTGTAGATAAAATAAAAAAGAAGGATGTATTTGTTTACCGAGGTTTTCTTTGGATGGAAGAAACGGTTATATAAGGAGACAATGGACCTAGTCTCTTCAGGTTCGGGAAGTATACAAGGGCGTAACCATGTCATTTTAACTCCATCAACAGGACATATGCAAGGTTCTGTAACTTTTTGCTTACATGTCCACAAGTACAAGATACATTTCACAACTGATATATATCTACTATGCTTAAAGAACACAAACCCGATGAACTAAAAATACTCTAGCTAAAGGAAAGAGCTTGATTGTCATGTCATCTATAACTTTTTTTTTTTGGTCATGGGTCATCTATAACTTAGAGCACTTCTATTGATGGTTTTTCCATGAGACACCCATATTAAAAATAAATTAAAAATAAATAGAGAATAATTTTTTTAATCAAAAAAGCTGAGACACGTTTCTTATTTGAGAAACTTTGAGAAACCCTTTCTCTCATACACATGTCACTCTTATATTGGTTTAACAATTTCTTTTTAAATTCAACTACTCTAAGATTTATAATATCAATTAAATAGTTTATACGTTATTATTATTTATTTTTTATTTTTCTACAATTCATAAAATAAAATTATCTATATATCAAGCTCCATTATATAAAAGTTTAAACTATATATTAATATTATTTTTAATTGATATTAGTTAAGGTTAATATAAATATAAATTAATATTTTTAGTTAGTAAAATACTATAATATTAGAAAATAAATCTGAGATGAATAATCTGATATATTGTCAACATTTGGATATTTTAATAAATAATGTGTTATCTTTTGTCATTATTTACAAAATGTCTAATATAATTAAAATCTATTTGATAAAATGATGTGTAATTTTAATCATATTGTTTTACAAAATTTCTAATATAATTAAATGATATGTTTAAAATTTAACATAAATTTTTTATTAAAATAGGAAAGATAATGAGAGCTTGCATCATATTGCACAATATGATAGTTGAAGATGAACGAGACAAATACACTCAATATAATGTCTCCCAATTCCAGCAAAGAGAAGAAAATGAGAGAAGACAAGTGGATTTTACATATTCTACAACTATGTCTACTAATTTGGGCAACATTCTCGGCAATCGAATTCGAGTTCGTGATAGAGATATACACCAACAACTAAAAGCCGACTTAGTTGAGCATATATGGCAAAAGTTTGGTGCATCATCAAGTGAAGAGTAAAACTTATATTATCTATTTTGGTTTTGTATGTTTTTATTTGCATTTTAATTTATGTTATCATGTTTTATATGTAATTTTGTGTTTAATTTATATATCTTTATTATGGTTTTATATATAGTTTAAAGTTCAATTTATCTTTAATTGTTGTTTTAAAAATAATAGTCTCTTTAATATATTATTTATAATTAATAGTACTATTAATTAATGTTTTTAAAATTATGAATATTCATTATATTATTTAATTCTATAAATAAATATAATTATTTAGTTTGAATGACTATATTTAAGATATAATTTGATATGTTTCAAAATATTATTAAAAACTAAATTTAATATAAAAATAGAAATATTATATTTATGAGACACACATAGAAATATTTCACCAATGGAAGCAAAATTTTAGTGTGAGTTTCCCTAAATAAATTAAACATAAAAATAATAATATTATATTAGTGAGACATCCTATGGGTGTCTACCATTGGAGATGCTCTTATATACTATAACGCAACAAAAATGAACCAAAAATTTTGGGAACCAGCGCAAATTTGGACAGAGTGTGTTGAAGCATCTTTCTTCTCCTTACAGACTAAAAATGCCCATTCTATACAAAGAAACAGGGGGTTATCAGATTTTATTGTGGGAAATTGTTAAAAATACCTCTTTTGGTGTGCCCCTTTTAGATGTCTATTTTCAAAAATGCCCCTTTTTAAATCTGAAATTTTTATAAAGTTTTATTAGGTTTATAAGGTACTTATGGATTGTAACTACTACTTGAAGACTCGATCCAAGTATTTATAAGGTTTTATAAGGTGTTTTTAAAGGTTTTACAAGTTATTTTAAAGGATTTTTAAAGTTTTTCAAAGGTTTTACAAGATATTTTAAAGGTTTTTAAAGGTATTTAAAATGCATTTGTAAGGTATTTATAAAGTATTTATAAGATTTTAGATACATAGAAATGTAGTTTGTGTATGTTTTAATAATATTACATACATATTTGGGTAAATCTTATATTTTTAAGAGCATTTTTTATAACGTTTTTAAAAAGGGGTATTTTTGAAAAGTGGCATTTTTGCAAAAGCCCCTTTTATTGTCATTGTAGTAAAGATGATCAGATTATCCAAAACATCAACTCATACACATAAACATCCCAAAAGAAGAATGACATTGTACTAATAGCAGAGGAAGATAGGTTCTTGGGTTTCGATCTAGAAGATATTTAACAGCCGACAAATCACTAACAAACTTAAAACATGATGAAACCAAGGTAAATCAATCTCTAGAACATTCTTACCTCTACTTGTTCAAGAGTAAGGGTATATTAATTAGGATCAAGTTCAAATGTATGTAAAGCATTTGAAGAACATACCAGTTTTAAGTGAAATCCATGTAATCAAATTACTCTGTGGTTCTATTCAATTGCAGTCCTTGTATTGCTTGACACAATGATGCTTTGTCATCCAATTTTGCCTAAATTACATATATCAAAGAACAAGAAAAATATATCAGCAAATAAAAGAGAATGAAATAATGAGAGAGATAACATGAGCACTGATATAAGAAATTCTTCTAAGCAGAAACATGGTCGAAGCTTAACAACAAAGATCAATGGTAAACAAGAATTAAACTTCAAAACTCTCTAATTTCTCGAAGAGAAGTATGGACAATATTTTTAACTTAATTACTAGCGACACCAAAGTACGTAAGTCCAATGAGAACTGGAAGTACAATTTCTTAGAGACTTACATATTTAATTTATTAATTAATAAGAACTTTAAAACTAACGTCCGTTTTACAAATGACACTAATTAATTTCCATCCAATTTTAACTTTTCACGTCACTTAGTAATTAAACCACGTCTTCTGCATTATTTTTGGTAGTGTCGAAGGATGAGACTACAAAGAAAATTGAAATCAACAAAAATAAACTAATCAGAGATTGAGATGCATATTTTTTTCCTCTTCTTTCAAATCAAAATTGTAACTAGAATAAAAAATTAACTACAATTGATATATAATTATATATACATATAAAATAAAATCTCTTTAACAAAATAAAAATCAAAATAAAATATTCCATTAAATGGTTCAATGTTTACATATAATATGTGCTACATCATATTCATATGGCTCAGTGGTTGTATACACAACGTCATACCACTCAAGTGTTCCCCAAATTACCCCACACCTAACTATTTTTTTGTGATGGTACTCATTAATAAACACATTTTCTTCCCACACTACCGCCAACTTTCAACATAATCCGTCACTTTGGCAATAACACAACGATCGTCCGGCAATGTTAACAATTTTTCCAAACCCTTCAAACCCAATAAATATGTCCAACATTTTTCGTCCGGGTCATACCACCATTATCATCCCGTAATTATAATTATATAACACGTTCTCTACCACAAAATGGACTGCGGGAGACTTAGCAAAACCATGCTCTGTTCATAGCTAAGTCTCCCGCTGTCCATCTACCTCTATTCAGCTTGTAAGTCATGGGCAGTCCCGGCCCACCCATAAAGCAGGCAAAACATCTGCTTTAGGCCACAAAATATAATAAAGTTTTTAGGGCCACATTACAAAGAAACTTGTTTAGCCTAGTGGTTATGTAGTTAATAAGTTAGTGTCAAGTCTTGAGTTCGAATCTTGTCTACAGTTTTTGTTTAAATTTTTAACAATAGTTTTAAATAAAAAATTATATTATTGAAATATGCTTGAGGCCCCAAATATCCAAGGACCGGGCCTGGTCATGGGTCTCTCAAAACACTTCACGTAGACATTTCCATCATACCCTAGCTACGGTTTGATACCTAAGACCGCTACATATTTTCTCACCAGGACTTGACGACTCAAACTCCCAAGTTTGAGTCATTGTATCGAATACCTCAATCCAGTTAGTTAATTGCAGCCTCCTATCACATATATTTTTCCATCAAGGATGCAAGCAGAAGGGGACACTCGTGCGACCGGCATGCTTGGGGCCTCATGCCATGTGTGAGAACGACGGTCCATGACCATGATGCTGGAAGATGCATTATCATCCTTTATGAATAATCCGCCAATGGCATAAATATTAGAAAAAATCTGACTGGTACGTAGAAGGAGAATTGGGAGATGTGATTGGGACCAAAACTTTCTTGGAGCTATTTGGTGTACGGCAGAGAGTGAACCATTGTTGTGGGGTCTTATAGGTAGGGAGTTTTAAGCACACATAGAAACAACTCTCGGTTTGGCCTAAGAGGAGTCGGGTTTGGTAAAGCTCAGTTGAAGCAAGGAGAGAGCGGAATCTGGGAAACTAAGGAGAGAATCGGGTAGTACAATCTCGAAACGTGGGCTAAGCAGTTTAATACCAAATCATTAGGAAGCATCATCAACGTCATTGGCTCTTCTCCATTCATGGTTATGTATCGCCTTTTCTCTCTTAGGGTAAATGACTTAATGGTTGCCTTCGCTTTTTTATTTATTTTTATGAATGGGTATAATTAATTTCATCAATATGAAGACGGTTTGTTATTTTTCTTATACAAACGTTTAATAAACTCCCAAGAAACTTTTGCATAGCCCAGAAAAAAAATATATTTTCTAAGATTTTAGATCTGTTGCCTTTATTTTTTCTCTCAGGATTTAAGATGGGTTAATTAGCCAAAACCAAACTCAGATCCTAAACTAACAATATAACCATCTAATGTCGGAAAAAAAATAAAATATTCTCTATACTTTACGCAGATATTTTTTATTCCTTAATTTCCAATTTTCCATCCATATCTTTGACGAATTATGTGGGACAAAAAAAACATCTTTTCCGAATTAATTAAAGGAAATTTTTATTATTATTATTGGCAAGTGTGCAAGAGATCTCCAGCGATGTACAATTATAGCCGTTCGCCAGGATTCTACGCAGAGAATGAAGTGTCGCCAGGTTGTGGATCATTGAAGGTATTCATCAAGATTACGAAGAAGGAAGTGTAGTCTGTCGTGAATCTAGTAAGGGTCGGAAGGAATTGTCAGTTGTAGAATCGTCTATGTAACAGTTCTCATAATTTGCAATTAATAATAAATCTAGACGACAAAAAAAAAAAAAAAAGATAACAACAAAAATATTTAATTGAAAAAATATTTATTGCATCCATATTTTACTATTTCTTTTCTTTGCCGCTTTAGTTTGTTCTATAATTCGGTTTGTTGGGTATATCCGTATATACATATTCAAATGGAAAAATAAAATACAACTTGTGTGATCAAATTTGTGTTTCCAGCCAAAACTCTTAAGACAACAAAATAGCTTTGCTCTATAGATTATGCTTTCCAGAATTTTTGAATATCACGAGGAAGAATGTCATGTCGCTAGATTTTGAGAAAATTTAAAGGGTAATATTAAGGAATCGCCAAATAAAACACACAAATTAGGAAATTAACAGAGAGAAAAGTTTATGTTGCAAAATAGATATGGACCCATGTTGTCATAGGATGTGAAATAACAAAACCATCCTCTGTTTGTTTCGAGATCAACAGTAGGCGAGATAGTTTCGTGATATTTTTTAAAATATCACGTAAGATCTAAATTTCACATGTTATATTTAATTAAAAGACATGATAATTTAAAAAACGTAGTGAATTTTTTTTAAAACATTGTTACGTAATATTTTTAAGAAAAAAGATTGTTATGGAAAAATTTAACTTGAATGAAATCTTTTTAAAAAGAAATAACATGTGATCTTAATAAAAACCGTGTATTTCTAAAAAATAAGAATCTTTTTTCAAAGAAATAACATGTGATCTTAATAAAAACGTGTATTACTACAAAATAACATGATAAAGAGAGATATTAAACTGAATTGAATGTTTTTTTAAGAAATATCATATGCTCTTTATAAATAACGTGTAATACGAGAAAATAACATGATAAAAGAGATGTATTATTCTATCACATGTAATTCAAGAAAAAAACATATTATAAAGGACATATACGTAATAACACGTGCTCTCCGACATGTTACCGACAAGTTATTGTAGCATAAGGCTACTTTGTTAATTATCTTCAAAAATTTGGCTATTTTGTGCATATTCTCAAATTTAAATGGGTTATTTCTTCAATTTTTTGAGAAAAAAAAATACACAATATCAAAACTCAAAAGGATAATTAAGTTCTGATCGACCTTTAGTTGGAGATATATTGACAAGATTCAACCAAATATGCTAGGTTATTATTATAAACGATTAATTTTAAATCTATACCTTCAAGCGAAAAAAGATCATCATAGCTTCTTATAATTTTTAATACTTTGCATAGAAATACTTCGGGTAAACCCGAATCCGAACCCGAATCCGAAGTTTTAAAATACCCGAACGAGTTTTAGTTTTCTAAACCTATAAACACCCGAATCCGAGAAACCCGACCCGAATATCCGAACGTCAGGCCTAGTGTAGACTCTTGTCTCTTGTGTCAACAACTATGGAAAACACGATGAACTCGAAGGCATATTAGCGAATTGAACAGAGAAATTAAACAATGATCTCTATATTAATTCAGTCCCATCTTTACTTATTTGTTTTCTAGAAGAATGGATGAAGGCTAAACCCTCGATTTTGTTTATTTTAATATCGCCTTATATGTCCGTTGCTCTTTCTCAGTCATATTCATAGTGATGATTCATATTAGAAATTGCGACTGTTAAAAAGAAACCAAAAGTAATTTTTTTTTTTGATAAAGGATCGTAAAGTAAAAAAAGTTGAAATCAAATCAATAAACTATGTGAAGAACTAATAGAAAATGGAAAAAAAAAAAATACACAACATCAAAACTCAAAAGGATAATTAAGTTCTGATCGACCTTTAGTTGGAGATATATTGACAAGACTCAACCAAATATGCTAGGTTATTATAAACGATTTATTTTTAAATCTATACCTTCAGGCGAATAAGATCATCATAGCTTCTTATAACTTTTAATTTTAAATATGAAAACCACGAGCAAGCTTTAAGTACCACAAGTAAAAATTCTAATTCAATTTACGAAAACAAGAAATAAGAAAGAAACGTTGGACACGAAATAAAAAAACAAAAAGAAATTTCAATGATTGGCAATTAACACATAAGCATACAAAATATAGTACAAATCCAATGCTATTACACAACAAATAATGAATTCTTGAAGAACCAAAAGGGGCTCAAGTTCTGCAAGCGAGAGACGGTCATATGCTAAGACCTATTGATGTGGCTTTGCAGTTCCATCAACCAAAAGAGGCTTTGCAACTGGACAAGCGAACAATCATATAATTTATGAAATGGCACATGATATAGAATTCAACTAAAACGACTGTCACAATTTCTCAATTGACTGTTACACAATACTTTGAGTAAATAGTAAGATGAAAACAAGAAATAAGAAATGGTTTTAACTTTTGATACTAGGATTTTACTATTAATTACCCTAATATACTTTCATGTCAATGCAGTATAAGAGGTTATCAATCCAATCAGGTGCTCTTACTATCAATCAAGATATGCTCATAAACAACTAAGTCAAGCCAGGCAAGATATTGTTTTGTGATCTAGCAATCCTAAGCGATCATGCATAAACGATAAAACTACAGAACATGAGTGATCATGCATAAAGAGAAATAGCTATCAACCCCAAACAGCAATAAGCAAGTAAGCAACATGTAAAGAGAAAAGTAAATCAAATGAGATAAAAAGGTCCTGAGGATAGGGTAATCGATTATAGAAGTCTCCTTAATCTACTTAGGTGGTTAACAATCCAAACAGGCTATCCCTAGACAATAGATTCAACTACAGACCAATTCACTCTCATGACAGAGATCCTCAAGCAATACTAGTTCCAGACCTAATCATCATAAACGAAATCTAGCAAGGCAGGCAATAACATTCAATATAATATAGTCAATAAACATTCTAAACATCCAATCTCTTGGGCTAGAGTATGTAAATCTCTGGAGTAGTTGGTTCAGACATTTCATCAAACACCTTGTGGGTGTAGAAATGTCTGGGCACAAATCCCAGTTGATAAGAAAGGAATAAGCATTAAGTACTTATAATCCAGAAGGAATTCAAGCAATTCTACACTTAACCACCTAACTAAACTAAGGATTCCACACCTAATCTATCCCATCCTCAAGAACCCTAATCCACTACTCAGACATGCTCAAGAACACAAACCCAGAAAATTGCACAAACCCAGAATTCATTGAAAATCAAGTATGTTATATATAAGAGAAATATCTACAACTTTGATGAAGAAAGTAATTGCAAAAACTCAAGGATTTAACAGGAAAAACGATTACAAAATCTAGGGTTTATAGAGAACAGCGGAATATCTGCGGGGTAAAAGGAATATCCGCTGGACGATAGCGAGATCTCCTGTTTATAGAAAATACTAGGTTGCCCTAATTGGCTAAAAGACAAAATAGAAAGGCGGCGGATTAGACTCTACTCGACGTCAAGTCGAGTCCAACACGTCGGGTGGGTGTGATCTTCAAAGATGGCTCCTTTTTCCATGCCTACTCGACCTCACGTCGAGTTCACTACATCGAGCTCATCTTGTCTTCGTCAAATGATCACCTGCTCGACCTCCTCCAGCACGTCGAGTTCAGTCCTTGGTGGTTCCTTGAATGGCCTGCTCGACTCCAAGTCGAGTTCATCTTGTCGAGTTCGGTTCTGAATCCTCTTGAATGACTTCCTTCTCTTCAACTCAACCCCAAGTCGAGCTCCAACATCGAGCTAGCCCCTCTTCGTTCCATTAAGTCCTAAATAAGCTCCAAAGTACCTGAAACACATCCAATATGCAACATGCTATGCGATGCAATGCAAATCGAGCTAAGTGATGAAAATGGTATGAAAAGGACTATGATTGCAATGAGTTGGAGAGGAATACTAAGCTAAATGCATACGAAATGTATGCTAAAAGGAGATAAAATACAGAGATATCAACTTAAATCCTAGCAAGAACTTCAAGTTTGGGTTGCAACTTGCAAGAAACTCCTCCTCTTCTTCTTAGACGTCAAAGCATATCCGATAACGAGTTTCCTCTGCTGCTGTTTGACTTGTTCAAATGACGCCATATCAAGTCCCACCTTGCCTTGGGTTTCATTTCCCCTAGGCAGAATATTATCCCGCAGACGGCAGACCTAATCTCTTCAAATCTTCGCAGAAAGAAAAACCCTCAAGTTCTTCATTCTTCAATCACATCCTCCTCCATTGTAATGATGCCAACATTGTCTTCCTCCTCGGCTAAATTTGGCAGTGCATGTAAGTTTAATTGCAGAATTCGGCACCATTATTTTTGGACTGTCTCTTGTTCCTTGAACCTCCTATCTGCTTGGCCCTATCCAATCTTGAAAAAAAAATATTACAAATGGGTTGTTATTGTTTCTCCCTCTTCATTTTCTAATGCTGTTAGTCTAAACTTAAGTTCAACTATCTTCTTCTTTGTCTGGTTTTCACCTGCTGAAACTTTTGCAAAGAAAAAATGAATAAACCGCAACCCAAAATCAACACAATAATAAATGCAAGGGATAAAAAAAAAAACTTACTTGAAACATTGTTCAAATTCATGTTTCATTTGGAACAATAGGATGTTTCCATGTTTGTGAGAATTTTTTTTTTTGACATTATAAAGAGAAAAAGTGGAACTAACCCTTCTCATAGAAAACAAGGCATGTACCATTTGTTACAATATATTCTCCAACCTGAGAGATAATCAAATCTAACACAATTCAAAATGGTTAAAGCAAAGAGAAACTGAAGTTGGAATAACTTAAGTT